AAAAAAATCTCATGCAAAAGAGAGGAAAAAATGATAATAAAGATAAAGACTCTTTTTCTTCTTGCTGTTGTTATATTTTCTTTTCAATCTCCCCCCAAGATCTGTGATCATGAACAATATTTAGACATTCCTGGCACTGGGGGGAAACTGACAAGATTTCTGCATAAAACAAAGATGGCTGCTCTAAATTATTTCTTTTCTTTTTTTTTCTTATGCTCTCTTTCTCCCCCCCACCTCCCTCAATAAAAATATTTTTTACAGGGAGGGGGGAAGAGAGAGAGAAAAGGTTGGATTAATCAGTACTCATGCTCAGTTATGACATCAGCATAAAATTGTTAAAGGTTAACTAGTTCCATACTAGTAAGACCATGACTTTTGTGTGTGCCTGCTTTACTAGCAGAAGAGAAGAAAGAATAGGGGTGTTTTATTTCCAACCCCCCCCCTTCTTTTTTTTTTTCTTCCTTCTTCTAACTTTAAATACTTCAGAAGGGAGTGGTTTATTTCTCTCTTTTTCCTCTAGGGCAAGAAAGGAAGAAGAGAAAGAGGAAAAAAAAAACCCACTGATTACTGCAATTCATTGTTATAAGATCTTATCCACATTCTCATAAGGAGATTTCACTTCCCCCCAATAAAAGTGTAAAAAATAAGGAAGAGGGGATTACTTCTGCATACAAAGCTTTTTTTTTCCTGCTTAGATATGTATATTGCTCTCCTTTAAAGCAAAGAGGTTTTGTTCATCCTAGGTTTGCCCCATAGCAAAATAATAATAGTAATAATAATGTTAAATTAAAGTGCAGTGTTAACAAAAATTTTCTCACAAACTGGTTTTTCTCACCAAACTGCATGGGAGCTTTTTTAAAAGCAGATTTTAGGAATAAATATAATCACAAAAACCAGCACAGAGTTATACAAAGTCCAACCGAAATTTTTGGGTCTTTAGCACACAGTTACCTGGGAGTAAGTCCCACTGAATTCAATGAGGCTTACTTCTGAGAAGTTATATACAAACTTATTCTGTAGCCTTTTACTAGATAGAGCCTGGCCCTTAACTGCTCTCGCCCCCATTTTATTAATGTGGCAAAAACAAGGGAAACAAATATTAAAATAAGAAAAATTTATAGAAATTTAGAAAGCAGCTGTGATTTTCCTTCAGCAAGCCTCATGCATAGTGATTTATCTGACTATGAGACTTAAGTTTTCTTTTTATTTGTGGTCACAGAGAAGAGGTCTTGACCTCTAAGACAGGAATATGTTCCAAAAGCATAAGAACTTTTTAAAGAGCTTGTTTTATTGTTTAAATCCAAAGATGCAGATTATTTCCCATTTTAGTGTCTGTCACTAAAAGTAAAACAGCTTCCTATCCTACCAATAAAACAACAGTGCAGTTCTGTATGTGAGAGATGCATAACCTTTGGCTTTCCAGATATGGTGGGACTCCATCATCCACAGCCAGAATGGCCAAGCATAATGGGAGTTGTGGCCCAATAATATCTGGAAGGTCCATCTCTACTATAGATTCTCAGCAGCACTTCTGAGTAGAATGTAACATGGGTTAAAAGAAAAGAAACATTCCCATCTGATTTTGGACTGATCTGATGCTTTAAAAATTCCTATAAATTTTTATTTAATTGATACTCTTTTCAGAGCCGCCTTTGGTCCCATTCTGGAAGAAGAAGGCATACAAATTAAGTAACTTCTTAACAGTTCTGTAACATTTCAAAAGCATAAGGATGGTGTTATTTTTTTAAATCCTTAATTAAAAAATGAAATACTATTGTTGATTTCCATCACTATAATCAACTGTGCCAACATTTCACTATTTTCCTTTGTTACGCTTTCTTCAATTCTTGCTATTTTTTAACCTGACCTTCCTCCCTTTCCATATATAAAAAGAAAATTATTTCTGGCCTTAAACATCCTGTTGCTGAATGACAGTCTTACCAATACATTATCTATATAAACACAATGAGTACAGTTAATCTAGAGTAGTCATTTAGAAAAGTAGATATGTTAAAGAATAATGGTTTGTGTAAAATATAATGTGCATAATATTTCAAGTATACCCGTGTTTTTCCTTTCCAATTTATTTTTTTAAAAAGCCAAGATGTATTTTAGAATCTAAAATATGTTGTGGGGGGAACACAGCTGCCAGACATTGTACACCTAGTTTTAGATCCATCCTAAAATTAGAAGCAAACGTTCAACTTTTTAACACTGAAATCATGACTACAGGTGAAATCTTCTGTTTCTGTATACAGGCCTCAGCCCTATTTCTAGTTGCAACTAAATCTATACCTGTTGGATTTACATGCAATAACTGATACAATGGGTCTACCAACAGGATTTAGGAGATACTCTGTAATACTATAGTAGCAACCTGCACACAGCAAATTTGATCCATTTGGCAACCATGGAGAAGTCACACTCTCATCAGAGGATGGCAATGACAAACCCCATCTTGCTGAGCAAATGCTGTAGTAAGGCGGCTATTGTTGTTGTTGTTGTGTCTTCATGTTGTTTCTGGTTTATGGTGAACCTATCATGGGATTTTCTTGGCAAGATTGGTTCAGAGGCAGTTAACCTTTGCAGTCCTCTGAGGCTGTGTCTTGTCCAATGTCAATGAACTTTTCCATTTTAATTTTGAAGGAATTTAAAAAATGCTATCACATATTACTTGGGTAGTAAAAGTCTCATTGATTTCAGAAGAACCTTTTTTTAAAAAATAAGCCTGTTTAAAATAATGGCCTACTATCCTATCTTAATAACTCCAAATTAAGACAACAGTATTGCAATCAATGGTACGCTTATTT